AGCAGCGAGGAGGGGCAAGGGCCGGAGCCACCATGAAAAAGAAACATGCTTCCCTTATTGGTGTGAGCTGCTGCATGCTGGGGCTGGCTGGGGGCTGGCTGGGGGTTCGCCTCCTAGGGATTTGATCCCTTCCCCTTCTGGCTCCAGGCTGGCCGCCGGCTCTGCCTGCCTTCCTGCCCGTTTCTTTCTCCCACCAGGGCCACCTCTGTCCTCCCGCCTGTCCATCTGGCCCTGTGCACGAGGCCCCAGCTGCCCGTGGGCCGCCCGCCAGGCCCCCTGGCTGTCAGGCTGTCAGTTTCTGGATGGTTCTGTTGTAGTACTGCGTGATGGGGGGCGTCAGAGGGTTCCAGCTGTTGGCATGGAGCTCGATGACCTCCAGGAGCAGCGACCGGGTCAGCATGGACTCTGAGGGGCACAGCATCTTGTCTCGGGCGCTGGCCAGGAGCTCAGTCATCATCTCAGGCAGCTGCTCCTCCAGCAGCCGGCCTGTGCTCTGCAGCTGCAGGCAGAGAGCTGGGGTTAGGACAGGATGTGAGTGCCGCAGTGGCCCCCAACCCACCTTGGCTAGGTGGGCTGGGAGCAGAGACTGGAAATGGCTGGGTGGTTTCAGGGAGGTAGAGGGTCAGGCCTCCAAGCCACTGGGCAGTAGGACCGGGCAGAAAGAGCCAGGGTATGAAATCCCACAGTTAACAATCAGTCTGCCAGTGGGGCTAAGAGGAATCAGGGTAGTACCTGCTCCCCAAGACGGTAGGAACACTCTTTTTCCTTTTCATCCAGAAGTCTCTCCCCCTACAGGAAGCCCTCCCTGACTATCACCCACAGCCTCAAATGCCTGTGTGACCTGCCCCTTTAAAGGTGGTCAGCTGGTAGCACATTAACTTCCACCTGCTACCCCGCCCCTCTGGAGATGAGCTCAATCATTATCACCTGGGAGTGTCATGCGCAACACAGGAGGAGGGAAGAGGCAAGAGGCATCCTATGTTTTTCTCCCACGGCCTTGATGAGGCCCAGATACTCCGGCCAGAAGCCCCCTCCTCTCTGCATGCCCCTCTGGGCACTGAGGGCGGAGCTACAGTGAAGGTGTCTTCAGGAAGACACCAGGGGACAGCTGCTTGGGAGCAGCAACGGTGTCTTCCAAGGGGCTGTTTTGAAGCAGAGAGGACCAACAAGGGGGAGTCAAACAACACCACCAAAACCAAGGGAGATATTCGGGAGCGGGGTTCATCCAGAATCTCTGAAAACGTTGGTGTGGTGTGTGCCTGGTTCAGAAGGTGGTTTGGGGCACCGAGCGTGAGCACAGTGCTGGCAGGGGTGGGCGGTGTCCCCATCGGCATCTGCTCTGGTTTTGACCTGCCAATGCTGGATGCAGAAGCCAGCCCCCGCGACCCACCCAACACCTCCCAGCCCTCTTGTGCCTCTGCTCAGCCTGAGGGCTCAGGGGCTCTGGGGCAGGAGAGGGGGAGCCACATGGCTCACCACCCCACACCACTCACCTCCATCGAGCAGCACAGGACGGCATCTTCCTTCACATCCTGAGACTGCAGGAGCTGTGGACGAGAGAAGCAGAGAGCACCACTCGGTGACATGCCAGCTCTGGGCCCTGCAGCCAAGCCCCCAGACCGAGCCCTGATGCAGCCCAGAGCAGGCATCGCTAAGGGACAGGCTAGAGAGAAGTGAAGGCTAGAGGGGGCCACGGATGCTGCGCCAGCTGCAGCCTATTTCTCTGTGGATCTGAGCAGCTGCAGGACCACTGTGGTCATGAGCACGGGCTCCCCGGCCAGCCTGAAGGCTGTGATTTGAGGTCACAGCAGACAAAGGCTGCTGTAGGGGGCAAGTAGGGGTCACCAGCTGTAAACAACTGAGCAGAGCAACTCCTTGGAGACAAAAACGGCTTGAGGCCTCCCAACAGGTGGGGCACAGCCACCGTCTCAGGTGTTCGGGGTCCTGGCTATATAGGAGCTTCAAAAATCAAAGCCCATTTCTCCCCTGTCCTGGGATTGAGAACCTCTAAACACACTACTGTGTTGATTTACCCAGAGGCCTGAACGGCTTCCTGACCAAGGCCATGGTCAGGCTGCTCAGTGCTGGGACTGACCACACTGGCACCTTCTACCTGTCTCCACATTCTCTCTCTTTTAGAATCGAGATGTAATCCACAGAACATTGCATTCACCATTTTAAAGTATACCACTCAGTAACTGCTAGTATATTCATAGATCCGCAGCTACCATTGCTAAGTCCAGGACATACTCAAAACCCCACCAAGAGAAGTCTGTACCCGTTAAAGTCATGACTTGCTGGACGATAATGGGCTGAGTCATGTGTCACGGAATGACTTGCTGGTGTGTAAATGTCAGAGTGTAATTTCATCAGTCTACATGGCCTACCTGTTGGGACCACTGGCTTATGTGTGGTTTGTCGCTGACTGCTGAGTGCCACATGACTGCATCAGTGAGCCTCCTCCCGCCTTCCTTGGTGACTTCCAATCTTGGTCACCATGGACTTACCTATTTTTGACATTACCTAAAAGAGGTATATAATATGCAGTCTTCTGTGACTGGCTTCTTTCACTCACTATAGCATATTTCACTTGATACATGTTTGCATGCATCAAGTTTTCATTCTTTTTTATAGCTTTTTATAGTTTTCATTCTTTTTTATAATATTCCATTGTATCAACACCACATTTTGTTTATCCACTCATCAGCTCATGGCCATTTGGTTTGCATCCACATTTTGGCTATTAGGAACAAGGCTGATATGAACACTGGTGTACATGATTTTCCAGCGGTTTTCAGCTCTCCTGGGAAGATCCATCCAGAATTGCTGGGAGTTGTGGTAACTCCATGTTCAGCTAGTTGAGAAACCGCCAGACTATTTTCTAGAGTGGTCTCACCATTTTACATGCCCTCCAGCAATGCCTGGGGCTTATGATGTTCCCACATCCTCGCCAACTTTTGTTGTTTTCTGAACCCCCAGTAGAAACTCTCTCCAGGCATGGCTTCAGAGGCGTTCTGCCATCCTGCTGGCCCAAACCCCCCAATCCTGCTGACTACTTCACCGCCTTCCCCTTTGCTGAAAAACACTTTTCAGTCTAATACAGAAATCTCCCCCTTTTTTAAATTCCAAATTTTTATCCTTGGGCTTCTGCTCTTCTCAGTTTGTTGTAACCGTCCCAGGAAATGATGGAGTGAGGGGCTTGTTCATATGCTGCCCTACCCTCTGAAGTAGGCACAGAATGATCTGTCTGCAGTCTGGTGACACCAACTTGAACGTGTACAGCTCTCTGACCTACCACTACTGATGCAGGGACTGCATCCCTCACATGTGTCCACACATGCACTATGACACAGATAGAAGGCTTTTGTCACTCTATTGTTAAAGTAAGACAACAATAGCTTGAACCTGCACCAACCAAGAAACTGGAAGACACTGCAGCACATGGCTGTCCCTTCCCTGCTACACTGGAGTTGGCTTCTGGAATTTTCTTCCTTCCAGAGTCAGGACTGCAGACCTCAGAGACAGTCAAGGGAGGTTTCCATCAATCCAGAGCCTGGGGGAGTGGTGGGGGCCACACAGAAGGGCCCCCTCATCTGGAGGACCCAAGAAATTGGGGACGGTGACTTGCCCAGAAGCAGGAATACCCAAGTCCCATGGCCCAACATCCATGTTGGTTCCAGGATGTGGAGGATCTTGTGACTGTCTGGGATGGGGACGGTGGGGAATGGAGAGAGCTTATCCCATTTTTACTGTACCGTGAAGATAAGGGCTAATAATAAGAGAACTCGGTGAGGTTTACTAGAACTTCTTTCTGATGGTAACTTTGTTCCCTTATAGTTTCCCCATATAGAGCTTAGATAAAAAATTGCTGCGAGAAATCAGCAGAAAGGGTGAAAGTGCGGTATCTGGCAGGAAGAGCATGCTTGGTGATGGAGTAGGGGGTGGTGGCTGGGTAGGGAAGGAGGCAGCAGGTGGAAGCTGGAGCTGCTGGGAAGGAAGAAAGGGGTAAGGTCTGGCCCACACATAATAGATGCTCAATAAATGTCTTTCATGGTAAGTTTAGATGAGCCTGGGTGGTGTTCTGGCCTGAGATCAGGGGTGTTGGGGGGTACTGGGCCTTGGATGGCATGCTCCAAATGTGAGGTTTCTCCCACCCAGTGGCCTCTGGAGTCTCATGGGGCATCCAGGTCTTTGCCAGCAGAGCATTCGCCCTGGTGAGCAAAAGCCTCCTGCTCCTTTCTTCTAGTGCCCCAGACCGCCTGCCATCCGCTAGGGATATCCAGAGCCACACACCGGGGTGATGTCTCCCTGTTCTCTCCCCTCGCCTTTGGGGACAGAACGACTTTCCTTCCACATCTGTTCTCCCTCTCTGCCTGCCCAAACTCCCTCACAGGCCCCTTCTTCAGGAGTGTACCCACACCGCTGCCCCTGGGCTCTGGGTTCAGGCTGTGGGGAAAAGAACAGACTCTGGCGTGTGCAGAGGGCTTTCCGGCAGAGCTGTGGGTGGCCGCTCTACCCCAGCGTCTCTGCTCCACCTTATCTTTTGCTTAGTTGTCTGGGAAAGTCTGGGTTAAGCCAAAACTCACACTAGACTCTGAGGTGCTCTTTCCAGTGAGCGATCTGCTGGGTTTTCTCAAGGAAGTCAGGGGGTTCTTCACTGAGCTTTCCCCTGTGGTTGCGGGGATGTTGAGTTCGTGGAGGGAGCCCGGGGCTACAGACCACATCATGCTCTTCCCCAAACGCTGACTGACCAGCTGTTGAGAACTGTTGCAGAGCTGAAGGGGTAGTGGAGCGGACCCCCGTAAGCCCTCCACCTGAGGGGACATCCCCACGGTCACAGCCAGGAAGCGACACTTGCAACTCTTGCTGGTATAACCGGGGAGCCCTAGGCACAACTCTGGGGGGGTGGTATGTGCCCTTGTGCCTCTGGGTGGCCATGGCGGTCCGAGCCCCAGCGCAGGACAAGCTCACTTGTTCTTGTGTTCTGCTTCTTCAGGCCCCTGCTTTCCTGGGGGCAGCCAGTTTCTGGCTACGTGGACCCTTGCGGAATGTTGAGAGAACCATGCAGCTCTCTCACTCATATCTGTTCTATTTGGGATCTTCTAGGGATAATGCTTTCTTTAACTCAAAGACAAGTCTCCAGAAAGGAGTGGCAAGTCCACAGAATGGTCTGCCCATGTTCACGACAACATTGCTCAAGCCAGGCAGGAGGTGGAAGCCAGTCCAGTGTCTCAGAGAGAGAGGAACAGATGACGCGTGGTGGCCCCACAGCGGCCCGTTCCTCAGCATTGAAACCGAGGGAACCTGTCACCTGCTACAATGAGGACGGACCTTGAGGACCCTGTGCTAAGTGAGAGAAGCCGTCACAGGAGAGCCAGCACTGGAGACTGCTTAGACGCGGCACCGGAGAGGAGAGATTTAGGGACAGAAGTTAGAATGGGGGTGGCCAGTGGCTGGGGAGACGCATGTGGAGAGTTAAGTGTTTTCATGGGTGTGCGGTTTCAGTTCGCAAGATGGAAAAAGTTCTGGAGGTGGATGTGGTGGTGGTCATGCAACAGAGTGAAGGTGCTTAATGCCTTTGCTTAAATAGCTAAAATAGCAATTTTTGTATTACATCTATTTTACCATATGTGCACACACACTCACAATGGTTAAAAAAAGGTCCTGGCAGGAGCAGGCACTCTCTAGGGTGGGCATAGCCCCACTATCACACTTGGGGCGAAGGGTTGCAGGGGTGGGAGCGGCTAGGCTGCCCCACGGGGTGTTGAAGGCCCTGGGGTGGGGGAGGGAGGAGCAGCCCACTCATCAAAGTCTCTGGCTCAGAAAGGGATGTGGGCGGGCTGGGGCAGGCAAGCCACCCGCCCTCCAACAGTGAATGTGTTTCTTGGACAAGAATCCAAGGCAATTGTGCGAGCCCACACAGTGTTTGTTCGGAAGCTAATGCATTCCTGTCCTATTGTCTCTGCCCGAGACTTGTTGTGGGCACACCCATCATATCCTCCCTCAGGGAGAGCCAAGGTGCTCGGAGTCAGGCTGTGGGAGGCCTGAGAGCAACGAGGGAGAAAGGCAGACGGGTGGGAGCATCCTGGCGTCCCCAGGGAAGGTCCATAGGGTGTGGGCATGCTGCCCAAGGTGTGCCCAGGATGTGGGCATGCTGGTTGCCTGGGAGGCCACCCCATGGAGAGGGAGAGTGGGTGCTGATGGAAGGACCCTGCAAGTGCTGGAGATCATAACTCCTTGTCTTACCATCAGGAGGGAGTGTCAACATGAGGCTGGCTGGTCAACCTGCCCGGACCACCTCAGCTCACCGACAGCATGGTTACTACCCTGATAAAACCAACTGCAAGCTAATGCATTTGGGTTAGCTCAGAGTCTGCCTGCAAGGAGCTGTCCTCCTTTGGGGGTAGTTGAGGGTGGGTGGGGAGCAGACACAAGGGAACAAAAGAGATGTCAGAATGAATGTGGCTGATCAACTGCAGGACAAATCCAAAAGGATGAAAGACTTTGTAGGCCAGGGAAGAAAGAAGAGGCAATGGCGGAAGGTGGC